GGTTAAGTATATTGAAGAAAGAGATGTTTAATTTTAAAAAGCTTGAAATACAATATTTATATGAGCACCTTTTTTTAAACAAGCAAAACTATTATGTAAAGATTTCCATAAATACTTTTCTATTACCTTTTCTAGGGCATTACAAGCTTTTATTTTTTATTTTTGTATTTACGCCACTTTGTTTTGTTGGATGATACCACGCTGCTTCAAGCTTGTTGTGGCTCAGGCCCAGTGGAGGCCTATACATAACATATGTAGTATACGCAGTACTATGTTTCATTGTGTTTTATACTCGGGTATGGTTTGACTGCATTGTAAGTGTTTGGYGATTATGCTGAAAAATAAAACCRTATCAGTTGCTTTTCAAAGAGTACTGSACAGTCAAACTTTTTAGTTACCGGTACAATAAATGAAACAATGAGAACTATCCTGTTTCTTTGATGGCTATAGACAATCCTCTGTCCTGACAATCCTGAGTGGAAATCAAATAACTGGACAGCAGTTAAGGTGTAAAAGCCTTAAGATAGACAACACATGAGCACTTTAATTACGTGCAAGTCTGATTCTATTGTTAAAAGTTTAGGAACCCTACCTTCAGTTCCTCCAGTGTGAAGCCACGTCCTGCACGAACCTTGGTGTGATATCTGATGGTGGGGCACCTGACCTGTGGTCTCAGAGGCCCAGAAGCAGGACGAGGAGCAATACGACGAGCCTTGGCTTGCCGAGCATTTCGCCTTGAAGAAAAAAAAAAGGACAAAAAAATAAATTTATATTTAGGAAGGTATTCATGAGGTCCAAGTCCAAGAAGACAGCTATGTAATAAAATTTTACCACTAAAGTTTATTTAAGCAAATTTAGTACAGAGACAATTGTGTGGAAAAAAAATCATTGATCTTAGCCCACATTTTAACCCCTAACCCTAAAATTATTTAAACAATTATGTTATTTCCTAATTGTTTAAAACCTCCACTGTCTGATATTTTGCCATTTGCTCATTACTAAAAAACTTGCTGTGCATTTAAAATTGTGTATGCATCTTGATACTTTGTATACAGCATGTGGTTGGGTAGCAGGAACAAAATATTGCTGTTTTTAAAGCCCATTTTATTTTTTTAAAGCACTAACCTGCAGATTTAAAATTATTTAACCAAATTTTCACAGTACATATTTTAATAATTAATGATTGAATTATAACAACAGCTTGAAGGCCTTGTACACTAGGGTTGGGCATAATCGTATCGTGTGCAATTAATCATCAGAAAAACATTAATCGATTAATTTTTGGTACTTGACCATTAATATGATTAATGCCACCAGGCAGACTAACCACTTGGTGCTCCTCTCTGATTCAAACATGATCAACATTAAAAAAGGGTGTGTAATTTATTTATCTATCAACACAATAAAGTTTGATGTATAGCCCGAAGTCTGTAATTTAGACACAATTTGGAACAGAATTTTATGAAGAGCCACTTTTGTCCCTATAAATTGGTCATGTGATATAAATTGGTCATGTGTATAAGGGTGTTCAGGTACTCCAGGGGATTAATCGTTTAATTAATCGTTATCGGCTAAATGCTACAATTAATCGTGATTAATTTTTTTGCCAATATTGCCCAACCCTATTACACTCATGAACATATTTTGTGGCAAAGTAATTCAAACTAATAAAACATTAAGTAAATTTGAAATTACAGACACACAGGCGCCTAAAGTCAGTTGCTTACTGTTTTAATAAACATGCCCAATAAACTATTATAATCCAATTCTGCCTGAATGTCAACACACACACACGCTTGGCCAGCAACAGCTTTAACTACAAATATCTGACCATCAAACACACAATTTCACACAGAGAAAAAGTTGCATATGCATTGTAACAGTACTCATCATAAATACCATTATGTTACAATCAAACACAAAATTTCACAATTTTCATCATTCATTGAATCAAGTCTTTCAATATGCGGTATTTTAACATGAAAACAGTTGTTTTGATGAAAACAACCAGACTGAAAGAAGGCCATTCATTTTCATTTCTTTTTTTTTTTAATAATATACTGTAAACCTCTAGTGCTGAAACCTCTGGAGGGAAAAAAAACGACACCGTGGAAACCCAGTTACTTAGCATGAAATAACCGCGGCACAGTCCTCACCTGCGGATCTTCCTGGCTGGCTGGTTAAACCAGGTGCGAACTCTTTTCTGCCAGTCTTTGTGGAAATGGGGGTTCAAAATCATTCCATTCCGGCTGGGGGCCATGACTGCCTACTTCCCTGCAACACAGAGATCGAAATTGAGCATCATGTCGGCATAGACAGCCTACACATGCTAACGTTTGATACTATAATAGTCGCTGGCTTCATTGAGAACCCAATTGACTACACAACGCTTCTTCTTTACATTTTTTAAAGTCATGTGTTTATTAGGAGGTTCATTTTTTTTATAAGTACGAGTTTTAAATTCTGAATTATAATCGCAATGCTAACAGTGACCATTTGACCAAGCAACTTCACTGAAAACATTAGCCTAACAGCAATTCCGCTGAAGAAAACGCAACAATAATCAACTCATTAAAAAGTCCAGAACACAAACTATCTTAAAACGTAAATAAATTTGACGAGCAGATTTTAAATATCGAGGATTAAACTCGATTATACTACAAACTTTGCAGAATAATTTCTCTTACCTACAAGGGAGGAAAATGGCCGAAAGGAAAAAGGAAGTTGAAAGGCGGTGAATTGTGGGATATGTAATAACCAGCCAATGAACGAACAGGAATTTTATCAAAGAGTAAATATGATGTAAGAGTGTTCACCTCTCACTCTCAGCTAAAGCGGTGGATTGTGGGATATGTAAAAAACCAGGCAATGATCGAACGGGATTTTTCTCAAAGAGTACAGATGAGGGTAAATATTCATTCTCTAAATAACCAACACGTTATTTCGGCATTTATACAGCAGATAGACTAAAAATTCTAAGAAAAAAATAATCTGAATGCTGAGATTAAAGTCTAAATCTGTCTTTTTCCTAATTCTGAGAAAAAAGTCAGAGTTCTGACTTTAATCCCAGAATTCTGAGGAAATAAAAAGTCAGAACTCAGGAAAAAATGATGTATTTTTGTTCTCTATGGCTCTATTCAATGTGTATATTTGAGAGAATAATAAAGGTTAATTTGCTGGAGAAATATATATGGGTACAATGTACGAAKTGTTGCTCAAGAAGGAATTAAACCTTTGTTTGTAAAAACCATTGTTTTTCTTTTATTTTGTGTACGTTTTTGTAAAATGAATATTTTTGATTGAATTAATT